TAAGCAAACTGTATGTACTTTGGTAAGGGATGAAGCGTTATGTAAGGAGATGTCGGCGAAAATATCACATAAGAGATTGATGGTATCCAGCTATTGGTGTTGGGCGGCCCAATATGGTGGTGAATCTACGAGAAACTCAGCGCTGTCAACGGTCAACCGCATTTCTTATTGTGAAACTCCCATTCCAGTCTTTTGTAAAGGAAAGCACTCAGAATTTCTAAACAAACGTACGATTTTGGACATCCTACGGTAACCGCATTACAGGTATCGTGTCTGAGAATATTCGTTCAGCTCGACGTGTTCGAGCCGAATGAACATACAAAAACAATTAGTTAATCCGAATAGTTCTCTTTATGGTCGTAAATACGTGAGTCATGCTGACCATGAGATTGTGTGAAAGTTCGAACTCATAAACTTCGATCTACTAAATAAAAGTATATCAGTTATTTGCACGTTGTCTTACCTCAAATTTGAATTGTTTTAAACTGACTCTAATATTTTTACAACAAACAAATTTAGTATGTCGTTTCATATACCATAATAACACTATTAGATCATCGATTTCATCATGGAAATCCGGTCGATATACAGTCCTCCTGAAATCTCGTAAAAAGGTTACGGCCAAACAAAAATATCCAGGATAGGAGATCGATTGCATTACATTCAAAATCTTTACCAGTTGAATGAGGTATCAATATTAAGCTTGGAAACTGGAGCATGCAAGTTTGAACGGAGATTAAACTGAGAAGAGCCTTTTGGTAGTGACATATATCGAAGCAGCTAGACTTGAAAACTATGATTGGTCCAAGTTGTGTCAATTTGAAAAGCCTTAATGGATTTTTTGGGCTGTCTAAAATAACCTGCTAAACCGAGCTTAGATCCTTCGGAAGTTGCCTACTGAATCCAAGCATTGAATTAATTTCCGATAGGGTTATTTGAGTGGAATAGTGTCAATAGACCAATATATTAAGCCATCTCATTCATTTATCGAGTTTGATCTAAATTCAATTTCCATTGTGGATAATCTCAAAAATCTGATTGAATAATCGAAGTGATTTGCTCATCTCTTCAAGTACCTCAAGTTACTGTATTGTCGGTTTTAATCATTCTGTCCTACTGTAATTACTCATACAACACTTTGATAATTGTAATCATATCGTGGTTGCTAATTTTTCAGATAAAATATATTAGCCATCTTATTCATTTATTGGATTTCATCTAAATATTAATGATGATGCAATAAAGCGCCACATGGCGAAATGATATCATCCCATGTGAAAAGTACCGTATCTCAGAAAGACTATCCATTATCCAGACGATTGCTTGTGTCAACAGAGTAGAAAAATCGGGAAGCGATGATATACGGACACCACCAGGATTTGAATTTCCTTTGTAAGTCACATGGCCCCAAAGTATTTGGGCAAATTTGAAATTAAAGCCAGGAAAGGTAGGCCATATTTTAATAGATGGATGTATCAGTAAATCTGCAAATACCTCATCTCCCACATAATATCTGTTGACGCTGTTGCAGTGACAAGCTTTTTATTTCACTTCAGATAAAACATAAGATCTAATATCACGGGCATAAATATGACTCACAATTTTATGATCTTAAAGAGGGCTGTTGGATTAAGATGACCTAAAATTACATCACACCACATTAGAATCAGTACGTCTCAAAGTTCATACCTGTTTAATTGGCAGCTTGGGAAGAAGCGCGGAGTGGACATTAGGTAACACACCAGCTTGAGAGATAGTGACATCGGAAAGAAGCATACTCAATCCATCGTCATTCTGTATGGCTAATTGCAAGTGTCGGGGATTGA